TCACATGAAGTAAATATTAAACTTTTTATACTGCCCGAAAATTAATTTTGGTCGAAAATGGATGTGCCCAATGAATTATGATCATTGTGAATAGATTGAATATTTATTATTTCCTAAATAGATATATTCTACAATATAGAAAATCGATCACTGGCTCTTGGACTACGGTCCGCATCCGGACCTCAGACATATTTTTTACGGACTCCAACGGCTGCGTAATTATAAAATATAAAATAAAGTTTTTACATTTCATTTTTATAATAAAATGACAAATAAAAATATTTTCCTTATATATACGTGTCTCCTTCACCTAGCGTTACGTTGAAAGCCTATAGGTGCAAAAAATAATTTCGAGAATTTGACTGATAATATGTAAGTATGTTAGTCCGATCGGCCACTCCGTCCCCCAGCTATAATTTATAAATTATATTAAGAATATTTGCTGTATTGTTAAAACATACAAATTTAAAGCACATTATATTTATTTAAAATATTTTATTACCTATTATATATATTTTTGTAAAAATTAAAATCTCAAATAAAATACTACTTTTCTTAATAATATTTTTACGGTAATGTAAATCGGATAGTATGAATCTACATATTATATTAAACACTTATACAATAAATAAATATCTTAATATCAACAATTGTAACTTCATATAATCATATGTACCTACTGGTAAATAACGGATGGATGGGGTGAATCGGACATAATAGTTGTTCTAAATTTATGTTTAGAAACCTAAAAAGATTTTTATATTTTGTCATCCACATATTTTTTTTTTAATATTTTAAGTTATACAGATATTGCGTTTCAAGATGGAAAGGTGGCGTTTGAATAATTTTGGAAAGGGGGGGGGTTGAGTAGGTTAACCTACGGTTTTGACTCAGGAGGACAGTGATCGAAATAAAGGGGCTGATTAGTTAACTACGTTAAAGTCTCTCATATTTTATGTATACCTACTTAATAGTTAATACGTATGAATCTTTGATTATTATATACCTACTTATAAATTATAGTAGGTATTACTGGCCATCTAGTGTCTACTTATATATTTTTAATTAAATTCATATGTATTTTTTTTTTAATTATCTGCTTCACAATCATTTAGAGTAAAATTGTGTCTTTCATTTATAAAAAAAAGAAACTTTTACCACCATATGAAACTTTTTATACATTTTATAAAAATCATAAGTATTTAAAAAAAAATTACTAAAATAAGAATTTGAATAAATTTACAATCATACGAAAAAATGAGGATAAGAATGTTCGGTTTATAACTCTATATATAAAATATACTTAAATTAATAGGTAAAATATTTCTAACGGAGATACCACACAAAATTAAATTGTTGGTTTTTTATACAGACACCTCTGGTACCTATTATCAAATATGTAGCTATAATATAATATAAAAAATTTAGCTTAGATATGACGTAAAACTACAGATACCTATAGTAAATCTAATCTTTGGTTAGATTGGCAAAAAATAAAATTGTCCCCCCCAAATTCCTCAAGTTGTGTTAATAGTGGGGTACCTATCAATGTAAAATATTATAAAGCGGTGCACTACGTTGTGGAAAGCTGTCAGTACCACGGTTCATTTGTACACACAATTATCCAACGGGAAAATACTGAAAACACACTCATCATGACGAACATACAAAATGTTATAATTTTTGTAGTATTTTGCACTTTTCAAAATTGGAGTTGTGCTGATTATGTTGTAGTATCAACTGCTTGTAACAGGTAAAATAGGTCTTATATTATATTTTTATTATTTTTTAATTCCTTTAATTGCGTTCATTTGGTACAAATGGCAATTCACATATCGATGGTAAGAACCCAAAATAATTTTGTGTTTTTATCCTTTTTTTTTTGTGGTATAAGTACATATAATTTAATATTCTATTTTTTTTAACTTAATTATATTGTTTTTTTTTTTACAATTTAAAAGGAAATTATAATTTTTTGCCATGGAAATGGTACTTACCGGGTTTGTTCATCGGGACATATTAATAATATTGTTAATTTAAATAATACTTGAATTACCTAGTTAATGATATAAAAAATTACAGTTTACTTAAGACAAATTAATTTGATATATAAAATTAAATAAATGTATAGTTGTTAAATCATTATATAACCAAAGACAAAAAATTAAAATTTTTTATAAAATACATTTAAAATAATTTTTTTGTGAAATAAAACATGTCTTAAATGATATTTTATGATAATAAACATATCAAATGTTTAAATGTAAAAATCATAAATATTTATCATTTATAAGCTATTATAGTAATAAACTTATAATCTTAATATATATAAATCTCGAGTCACAATGTTTGTCCTCAATGGACTCCTAAACCACTTAACCGATTTTGATGAAATTTTTTACACCGCGTGTAATTTGGTCCAACTTAAAAGATAGGCTAATTTAAAAAGGGAGAGGACCAACCCCGGGAGGTGCTCAAACGGGAATTTTGAGATTTCCGATGGAAATTTTTGTTTATAAATGGTTGCCATGGGTTTTTAAGCTATTTCAATAATAAAAATAATAAAAAAAAAAACTATTTGCTTTACTTTTTAAATATAAATTGTAATATAATATCTAACTATAAAAATGTGAAATGAAAATCTCTGTACTACTTATCTCTGGAGCTTCTTATCAGATCTTCTTTATTTTTTTTAAATGAAAGAGTATTTCATGGATAAGGTTTATATGAAAAAAAAATGTTAGGAAAATCCACCAGTGTATTATATTATATCGGTTGCTATTGGTTAATCGGGCATGTTTTTGATTTGTATCATTATTTTTTGTCAATAGGTATACATATATCATATATATATAATAAATACAAAAAGATCCAATAAGTAGTTACAGAGTCTGTATAGTTATAGTCCGTGTATTTATATAGTTATATATATATATATATAAATTAATGTTTGTGGGTAGATTAGACGTCTGGGAAGAAGATAGGTTAATTTACTAAGGGTTAAATTTGTTTTTTTTTCATCGGGTTTTAGTACGGTTAGGTTAGGATAGGATTTTGTATAAAATGATTATAATAATCCACCTTAGGCGATATGAAGTAAAAACGATAAACTTGGTATAACTTTAATACTTTAGAGTTAAATCATACACTTACGTACAAACAGCACAGGGTACGCGATCTATCGCAGGTAGATTACTGTTGCGAATCAGAATTTTTATTCGGGGCAACGGAAAAGTTAAGATTAATTTTGAACACCGCATACACCGAATATTAAATAACGAATTGAACAAACTTTGAGACATATAGAATTGATACATTTAACGGGGCAACGAAGTGCACGGGATCAGCTAGTAGCTTATAAAATTTGTATTTAAAAATAATTTATTTTATTTTATTGGCAAAGTCTGAAAAAAAATAATATTTTATTTTATTTTATCAACAGCTGAATAGAAAGAAAAATCATATTTCACACTTAAGGCTATTGGAGCAGAAAATTTGGAATATTAGCATTTTTCATACATGGAATAAGTATCTATTAACAATTGGACGTTAATGTGATAGAGATAGGTTACCTATGGTTACAACTTAATATAGGTAATACAAAATATATATTATATAATTGAAAAATGTTATTTATATTTTGAATACATTTTTTAAGAATAATTCTGATTTTAAGGCTTATGAAATTAAAAAATATTTTTTCTCCATAGGTAATCTAGAAAAAACTAATAATAATCATAGGTACTTAAATTTAGAACAGTAACTATATAGCGCGGGAAATACGTAAACATAAAATAATATATCAACTTTGACAAAAGTTTCAGAATACAATTAGCTAAGGTTTTTATACCATATATTTTAAAATGTTCCCTACTTCCTTATGTTTTAATATAGGTAGGTGCATTTTATATTATACTGTAAAAACTCTTATGCTGGGTTGCATGGTGAAATATTGATTCTTTTAATCGTTCAATAACATTTAACCAGTCAACCACGGGCCACTAAATCATGTTTAAGTAACAATTTTCCCACTATTGATTCAATAAATGTTTAGTCATTTATATTAATTTTAAAAAAACAACGTAATAGTATAATAGGTACTTAAATAAAACATTTTTCAAACAAGTTCTCAGTCGTTTCAGGCGGTCTACAGCCTTCCATAAAAACATCCATAAATACATAAATGCTAAATTGAGCTAGATTTTCCAGATATTTTTTTTAAAACTAAGAACACTGTTATTGTTGCAAATTTTTGATAAACCGACGTTTATTAAAGTCATAGCTGTCACGTAATGTAACTAAAACATTTGGTTGTACTAAGTTTATGCTAAACTTCAAATAGATAAGCTTTAATCCCACCAAAATATGTCGAGAAAAAAATCATGGTTTCATTTAATTAAATATTATCTTAATAATTCTTCTTACTTTTATGCAAGGATTTTGTATATATTTTCACATCTACTAAAATAATAAATTAAATGTCTGACAAAACCTTTAATGAAACTTGCACTTGTAAGTGGTATTTATAATTTATAGTTTATGTTTGGTACCTTTAAACTTAAGCTTTAAGAAGGATTACCTTCAAAAATAATACAATATAATATGTCTTATAAAAAAAAAAATTGATAATAGTTTGGAAAAGGACATTTAACACGTAACGTTTAACAATTTACAGTGAATATTATTATGATAAAATGAATAGTATATTAATTAAAAACCGTTGAATTTAATTTCATGAGTTATATTAACATTTTTATTATTTTTGTTTCAGTAAAATTTACTGTAGTGGATTATTACTGCATAATGTTCAAATGCTTGGAGTATTCAATGATTCTAAAATGTTTGTAGACATGAAAATGAAATTTTCACCTGAAGATACAAAAGGAAACTTCACAGACAAGATGATAGATTGGAAATATATATACCGACCAATGCTAGTGTGACAGAGTTCGTCAATAAATATTTTGTTAAAGAAGGTTCTGAATTTGAAAAATGGATGAATGATTAATTCAACAGGACCACGACCAGAATCATACAGGTAAATTCAGTTTTGTATTTCATAGAAGTTATCTCAAATTTAATTTATGGGCTTATAAATATTAATTTATGTTACTGATTGTTTCTTATTGAACACTAGCATGGGTGGAATTAATAATTCACGTATTTGCCTACGAATCATACATATTTACTTTGGGTTATTACTGTTATTAGTAAATATCTACATTTCAATTTTTTATAATTTCAAAATATGTTTTGTTTTATAACAGGGAAGATATCGAGGCAGCAAAAAACTTTAAAACTGAAAATGACAAAGAAAATTTTTATTCAGAGATCAAGGCGGCAGCTGAATCTGGTTGGGACTTTTCTAGTCGTTGGTTCATCCTTAACGGAACGAATAAAGGTAAATAACTTACTAGTTTTTGTATTTATTATATATGTTTCTAAAGACCAAATATATATTTATTTTATATTGATGTAAATATGTAATATAATAATAATTACAATTTAGTCAAATAAGTTAATTTTGATACAATTTCTAATAATATATAATTCGATTTCGATTTCGTACATAATAATATGTATCTAATATTCTAATGTATTCATAATATTAATAAGGTAGTGTTCTTGTAATCATTATAGACACACACATATTACTCGGAAGGATTAAAATTTAAATTTACACATAGAAAAATTATTAAAAAATTATATAGCAATAAAAATCGGAAAAAAATGGAAATTTATGAAATATATTTCTGTATATCAGCTAATAGTAGAACTAGGTACCTACTATAAGTTGTATAGGCATCAGTAATAATTATATTATTTTAGCTATTTTAGCTATTTTAGCTTAAATAGTTCACTGAATAGTTAATTTGTCAACTACTGGCCCTAAATGCAATGAAAGCCTTTCTATTATATATGCCCTAGGCATTATTACATTTTTATCATAATATGGATGCTTGTATTAATGAAACAATTTATGTCGGTATGATATAAACTATTTTGTATTTGGTAAGATTATTACACATCATTTTACAGTATACCTATACACTGAACTATAACATAGAGATAGAAAATAGCGGAATAAAAATCCCTGACCCTAGGAAAAATAACTCCCAGACTACAATATTACTGACAACCACATGGCATTTTTAAAATGTAATTAGTGTAATTATTACATTATTAATATTTAATTACAAAATACTTTACATTAAAAAAATTTATATTTAATAAATAATTTTCAAAAATTAACAAAAATATTGTTTTCTTTTATATCACGATGTGAAACAACATATTTTAATGATTATTTTAAAAGATTATTAATTATAGGTACCTATATATTCATTAACCATTTGTTTAATAATTATTTGTTTTATTTGAAGTATCGATCATTCGAAATATTATTATTTTATAACCTTTTAAATATTATATCCACATATATTAAGTTAGAATGTTATAGGTTATTGTTACAAATTACAATTATAAATATTACCAGTTTTAATTAAAAAAATCTACTTTCTTCTCTTTTCGTGCACGATTTCAAAATAGTTTCATTTAGTATATATTTAATGTATAATCTGAAGTTTTTATTCGAATTAGAGTAGGGTCTATACTTTTATCTTTACTCTAAACACTCTATAAAGTAAATTTTTCCAATCCATTATAACTGCATGTGTTTCATGAGGCATACCTCATGACCGACTGAACGATCCATTTTCATAACGATTATACGTTACGATGTTAGGTACCTCGTATCCTACATACAGTCCATGTCATAAATTATGTGTACCTAAAATGTATCATCATAATAAAATGGGTAAGGGGGGTGAGATAAAGTTTATCGGATAATAGGTATTGTCTTAGTTCTATTAGGTTATGATATGGTCAAAAACGTTGCGTAGAATAAATTATGCCATTGTATGATTGGAGGAAAATTCAAAGATACAAAAACTAGATCTATCGTCCCTGTAGAGTTGAACGCATTAATATTTTGGAATTCGAAGATATTGAGCAATTTCTACAGGGAACTGAATAATACCATCAAAGCTTTGGAATATGAAGTCATTGCTATGGAATGGACGAATGCTGTGACTGCAGTTCTATGGAACGAGGAAGTGGGTGCCTGGCTGGATTTTGACTTGCTTAATCACAAAAAACGAAACTATTTTTACCCAACTAATATATCACCCTTATGGACGGGATGTTATGACAAAAACCAAACAGATTATTTTGACTGACCAGCAGTGGGGGCCATGCGTTAGGTTGGTAAACAAAGATGCAAAAGTAATGGCGGCAAAAATAGCTTCAAAATGGCTATGTACGAACTTCGTGGCCTACTATAAAGACAAAGAGTACAAGATGTATGAAAAGGTAAGTCAGATTTGATGGTATAACTAAATAAAACAATTTATCGGGTGGAAAGGGGATACTGTGCAGTGTAAACAATATTATTTTAATTCATTATAAATATAGGTACATGTTTTCATTGAGCCGTATTTGACTATCAATTTATATTTATAATTCACAACGATGATAACTATCATAGGGGTATAATTATTTGAGACAAATGCAAAAAGATGATAAAAAAATGTGTGCACAAACATGTCGATTGGTCTGCAGGACAGTTATTAATATAGTTTAGGTGGTTTAACTGATAGACAAGTTTCACGTGAATTGTAGACTGCAGGGCCTAAAAATACATCTGATTTCAGGATACACACCGCACACTTATTAATTTCACTGTTACTTTAGGGCTTTGACAGTTTTCTATAGCAAAAAAAACCTTTGGTGGTTGTAACACATGAAATCCCCCCCCCCACCATTTTATATACCACTGTAAGTATCTTCCACCTTGTAAGTGAGTTAGTGAGGTAATTTTGATAAAAATGATTATTTTAAATCACTAAATGCAGTAAAAGCCTATGGGTGTTTTTATTTAAATATTTCTGTATGTTATCATCATCAAATAGAATATAATTAATGTAACGAAATAGTTTATAAGAATATTCAAGGTTTTTAAAAAACAATTTTGATTATGTTTGTAAAATAATATTGGATTTGTTAAATAAACTGTTATAATATTATATTATATGTATATTATTATGTATGTAGATCTTTTTAGTTACATTTATTATAATACAAAATAACTATATAATTCTTTAACATCCTATTTATGATTATAATAATCGGTTTAAACTTAAATTTTTTAAATATCAACATTTTTTAGACTTAAAATAAACAAAAATAGATATTTATAATATGTGCTATCACCTATACCTAATTATATAATATTGTATTTCAATATACACAGCTTAGAATAATTTAAATATCTTATGTACCTATACCTGCATGTTACGTTATTTTATAATAAAGCAGGTACCTAATTACCTACCTTGAATTGACCCATTATATAATTTCTTTTTTTTTTTATAACAAACTTGCTCATAGTATGGGAATAAAATAAGTAGGTAATTAACTTAAGCTAACTGAATAGGTAATTAATAAATTAAAATATTAAATTATTTATGTAAGTTATTCTACAAAACAAAAACACGTTATAAAACTTGGGACACACATTTTTCATTCCGGTTACACACTTTGATTTTCTGAGGACACAGTATTTTAGCCCCTGGGAGACTGTATACATTTTTTTAATACTTGTTATATCTGCAGACTTATTTAAATAAATCATATTGTCGTTTGTTATCGTGTATACTAATTCGCCAAATGTTTTGACAGTACCTAGTGAATAAAGAAGGCGAAAAAGGAAAAAGTTCGGGATAGTACGAAATCCAGGACGGGTTCGGGTTGACGAATGGAATCGTTTTCGAATTTCTACAATTATACAAATCTACAGCTTCAACAGAAGAATATGGATGATAACGGCAAAGGGCTGTTATGAAGAATACAAGAAACTGATAATTTAAAAGAATAATAATAATAAAAATAAAATAGATAATAATTGATGTAAAAACAAATTAAATAATAATAATACATAATAATATGAAAAGTATAATGCATTTGATTACCTTGGCTCAAACTACAACCGGAAGAAAACTCTAAATTTGTATTTTTAATACAAGATGATAGTATTGTATACATATTTTGTTGCAACTTACTAGTTACTTGTTGAACCTATATTATTATAAATATAGTATAATATTCATCAACGAACAAACAAACTTCAATTTTTGATAGATGATTTTAGTAGGTTTATAATAGGCTGTCAATATTTGATTTCAAATGAAACGTTATCGTATCGTTGTGAGTAATTTATAAGTTTAATTGAATGTATTTTTTGATGGTTATTAGTGGATGGTTTAGAATACTTAAATTGAGTTAAATGTGACGTCAGTCTTAGATTGTTAATTAGAATTTAACAATTTTGTTCAAAATATTTTTTGAACCAGACATTGATTTTTCTCTACATTTCCAAATTGGTAAGTTAATCTAACAAATATCTGGTTTTGGAGCTAAAAAATAAGTAATAATACATTAACAATAGCAATTTATATTATACAGTGTGTTAAACATTTTATGTGAGCATATATTACCGTATTTAGCATATTTTACCAAATATTAAAATTAGGAAAAAATTATCTACTTATGCAAAAATGGTTTTGATTTATATTATTACCCTGGCAAATTACCTAGATATTAAATATTATTTTATTAATTAGAAAGCAGATGTATGAAGGGTAGCATTTAAGATTAAAATGGAAATTATATTTGAAATAACATTAACAGTCATGTAGGTACTTACTATATAACAGTTTAACCCTTTGAGTGCTATGTGAGTATATTATACGCCCGGATAAAGCAATCCCCACAGGCAATGGGCGTATATTATATACGCTTTGTTAGTTCTTTTCTTACGCTACAGAAAAATAGTATAAATATGAAACCTGCAGTGACCACTAGCTTATAAAATTCCAAAATATTAAAAAAAAAATTAAATTTGATAAATGTCCATGGAGTAAACTGATATTCCCCTAATCACGAATTTCAGGGGTTCCCAAATTTGTATGGGAGGGGGCTAAGAGGACTATAGCCCCCCAAAATTCCATAAGACCCTTCAGAATTCTGTTAAGCCCCCCGTGTAAAAATTTACTTTAATGAAAAAAAGGCTAAAGTTTTTGACACCCGTAGGTTTCTGCCATGGCCTGGTGGGGATGGCGGCATCTCTCTCCGGACACCGTGGCTGCCCGAAGAAAAATGCTGCCAGTGGCCGGGTTCGCTCGTCCCCCTTACTTTATTATTTAGTGCCTCGTAGTTATTTATGCGACATTGCTCCGTGTGTTGCCAGTGAATCCACTCGAAATTCATTCCGTGATTATAGGTACGTCGATCAATAAAATTATGAAAACAAAATAATATCATTAAACGGTGTTGGTGTTATAGATATATTATTTCTTACTATCAATATAGTATTACGATCAATTGATCGTCATCGATTATAAGCCATTTTCCAAGTAAAAGTATTAATTAAATTAATAATTAATCAATTAATTTAATTGATTTTACTTATAATACAATTATGTAAATAAAATATGTTTGACAAGTCGATGCTGTTATACTATACGATTTCCGTTTCCTGGTAAAAAATAACCATTTATTTGATAGAATTAATAAATGAAAACAAATATCGAATATGGGGACACGTCTCTAGCTCAACTAAATGAAGGGGAACTCTGAAATCTATGAAAAAAAATAAAGCGGACTTCGTCAGCTTGTGTATAGCCCCAATTCGAGCACTGATTATCGATGATCATGATGAAATTAAGAAAGCTGGTGAACACAAAAATTATTGTGGCAATTATTAATGACCTAATATGTAAAAAATAAATAAAGCATTCATAATTAATAAATTAATTGATAAAAATGGTATTTCGATTACAAACGGAAAAAATATTTGTGATGTATTTAACATTTTTCCTTACTAATGTTGGTAAAAAAAAAATAGAAAACAATATCATACAAAAATGTTATGAAGAAAAAACTATGGGAGGATAATATATTTATAGGTAATCACCACATTAAAATATTGACAGTCACACTTCTAAGATTTGTTTATATCTTTAACGATATTAGACACTTATTTAATCTTCAAATAAAAGTTTTAGTATATTATGTGTCAGTGCGTCACTTTGCACAATCAATCCTAAATATTATGGAATAATTACATCGGGCCAAGCATATGGCAATTATATATATTCATTACAAATAACCTTAAATAGCTTAATTACATTTATGTTAAACAAATCAAAATATTCTAGTACTTACCTAGAGATTAAGTATACCTATAGTCAAGTAACTATAACGATATTACATTTTTTTAAAGCATCATAAATATAACCTTGTGTTGCGGAAATTATGTGACCCCTCTCCACCTAGACTCCCACACGAGTTCTCTCTTGGACATAATCAGAAAACATTTTTCCTTGTAATAACTATATAGTAAAATTTATATTGGCCAGCAGAAATTTTTTTTGGCCTTCTTAAAAAGTTGTTACTTGTTTTCATATAGGTACCCTTCAAAAAGTAGAAATTACTCCTCTGGGCCAAAGACATAAAATGTCATTACACGAGTAAGAGTGACTTATTTTTAGTGAATCTTCTTTATTATAACACTTTATTATTACAGTATGTTATTAGTAGGACACGGATTTATAATATGTATTTATATAACCAAAGTATGTATTTACACAACAAAAATATGTGGGAGGCCGTAAAATCACGGATACAAAACCACCGGCATAACGAAATCACGAACTATAATACATCCGTATTATAAAATGGCAAGAACAAATTAAAATATATATTTATGGAGTTTAAAATGCATTGAAAATTAAATCCTGAACCGTTAAATCAGCGGAATTTAAACATATTGACTGTAATTTGTATAGAACTTAAAATTAATGAATAGGTACAATGAATTTGGAAAATTAAATTCCGGAACTTAAATTCTGGACTGTAAAATTACTAGAATATACTTTGTGTAGAATATAATTCAAATTGAAATTTTGGTTTACGGAAAGTAATCACGAAAGAAAGTAATAAGACCAAATGTAAATTTTCCGGAATTAAATAACTCTGACCGTGAAACTCCCGAAAAACATTGAAAACAAAATTCTGGACTGTAAAATCAACGGAATTTAAATATATTGACTATAAATAATCTGGATTTAAATCATTAGGTAAATATTATTAACAGAACTACAAAATATGTATATTGTTT